TAGTTGTAGGTGGAGCTACGGTGGTTGTCGTAGTTGTTGGTGGAGCTACGGTGGTTGTAGTTGTAGTAGTTGTTGGTGGAGCTACGGTGGTTGTAGTTGTCGTAGTTGTAGGTAGAGCTACGGTGGTTTGCAGAGTTGTTTGGTTTAGGGATACTACAGGGAAAGTTGGTGTAGTTGTAGGTGGAGCTACGGTGGTTGTAGTTGTTGTAGTTATAGGCAGAGCTACGGTGGTTTGCAGAGTTGTTTGGTTTAGGGATACTACAGGGAAAGTTGGTGTAGTTGTAGTAGTTGTAGGTGGAGCTACGGAGGTTGTAGTTGTTGTAGTTATAGGCAGAGCTACGGTGGTTTGCAGAGTTGTTTGGTTTAGGGATACTACAGGGAAAGTTGGTGTAGTTGTAGGTGGAGCTACGGTGGTTGTAGTTGTTGTAGTTGTAGGTAGAGCTACGGTGGTTTGCAGAGTTGTTTGGTTTAGGGATACTACAGGGAAAGTTGGTGTAGTTGTCGTAGTTGTAGGTGGAGCTACGGTGGTTGTAGTTGTCGTAGTTGTAGGTAGAGCTACGGTGGTTGGCAGTGTCGTTTGGTTTGTGAAAACTACAGGGGAGGTTGGTGTAGTTGTAGTAGCAGTTGTAGTTGTATTTGTAGCTGCTGTAGTTTGGAGAATGGTTGGGGTTGCGGTTGATACGGCGAGGTTTGGTGTAGTTGTAGTCGTTGGGCCTGCAAATAGAAAATCAGTTTTGTTTTAACCTCGGGAATGAAGAAAACCACTAATTAACTTTAAAACATGAACGGAGAAATCTACTCACTGTTTCCAACCGTCACGATAACACACCGTAGGTCAGAGTGCAACCAAGTGTTCGAGTAACTGTGGAATTAATGCACAGTTAATTAATTAACTGTGAATTATATTTTTATAAAAATATAACAGTTACTAAGGAAACAAAATAAGTTAATCTATTATAGAGTGTGAGAAAACTAAATTGTTCTATTGCATTTGCACTTGTAGAAGTCATGAATTTTTATCATCCATCCATTTTCTTTAAACCCTTGTCCCTAGTGGGGTCAGCAGGGTGCTGGGGCCTGTCTCCAGCGAGACATTTCAGGCGAGAGACGGGGTACACCCTGGAGACAGACAGGACAAACAACCACACACACATCTAAGGAGAATTTAGAGAAACCAATTAAGCTGACAGTCATGTTTTTGGACTGTGGGAAGAAGCCGGAGTACCCGGAGAGAACCCACCATGCACAGGGAGAACATGCAAGCTCCATGCAGAAAGACCCCGGGAACTACATCTTTTTCATCAATACTAAGAAATTAGTGACTTAAATAAAGCTCCTACATTTGGCTGAAAAGTTACTTATAAATCAGTTTTGTCTTATTTCAAGCATACTAGATATTTGAACTAGAAAATGGATCAAAAATACTTGGTAAGTGTTAGGTAAATTGTATTATTATCAACTATTTGTTATATCTTTATGTTCTTAGTTTATGTATTCTTACTTATTTAGTTTAGTCATATGTTTTAAGGAATGTTTCTGTATTGTTAATCACTCTGCTTCCTTCCTCAGAGGAGGCCTCTCTGAAGAAGAGCAGTG